GGGATAAGGTTATAGTGTAGTCTGTTACGGGGTTGCTTAGGTGGCTAACAATGTATCGTATGTCTGAGAAGGCCACGAGGCCAATTGCATGGCTGTGATGTCATACATTTGTTCATCGCATTATGACTTAATTGCATGTGTATAGGTCAGTAATCAGGGTAACATAGATAGGGAGCTTGGATTATTCACAAGGCACGTTATGATAAAAACACATGCAAGTTAAAAATGCTGTACAATCATCGTTAATGTGTGTTAAATAAATAATGCGCCGTTATTTCTGTAAATCATTGAAGTGGATTACAGTGGTTTCACATTTACAGAGTATAAAAAACTGTTATTATGAAGAGATAAGCCCATACCCGCGAACTAGTTTTGAAGTTTTGGATTGTTGCATATGTTACTTATGTCATAGTGTACGTGGTTGCTAATTATCAATGCGATTATAATGCTCCGTTAAGACTGGGAACTATTATTAAGCATTATAATGGTTTCACAACTATACAGTGACAGTATAAAGTACACATATGAAGAACTTACACCAGATATATGAAAGTGATGTATGTTAGAAATGTTTATTGTGTTAAAAGTGACTTGTAATAACTTGAATAATGATGAATGGGTCAATAACAGTACAGGTATAATACGTGTTACTTTAGTATGTGTACTGTATTTGATTCAAATTGTTAGCTGATTGATACATGAATACTTAATGTTAAAGAGTGTATCTAATTCGCGAGAATGGTCATGATGTTGGTTATATTTAGAAGAGTTCATATGTAAAAGGAGTTCATAATTCTGTTTAATGTTAAGAGCATTGCTGTATCTTTATATTGCATAAGCACCACACTTCTTGCCCACAGGTTTCGAGTTGGAGTTTAAGGGTACAGCGGAACCTACCTGGGATAAGACTCCCACGTCCATCGTTGTGTGCATACTAGGGCTGAACGACTAATCGATTTAAAATCGAAATCGCAATTTGAAACAATGCGATTAGCAAATCGCAAAGGCTGCGATTTTCTACGATTTGAAAATTCCTATGACTTTCTTATTGGGATTTTTATTTTTTACTATGATAACTTTATTTATTTAACTTAACAATTGTTCTATTTTAATTTAAAGCTTTCGTGACTGCAGTAATTCATATTCTTAGCTCTTTCGGTAAAGTCACGTTGAAGGGAAACAATAAAATAAGAAAAATATATAAAACAATAGAAATTCTCACGACGTTTCGACCATAACGCAAACGGTCATCATGCCGCTGGTTTCCCTTCAACGTGACTTTACCGAAAGAGCTAAAAATATCAATTGTTCTATGTTTGATTGTTCTATGTCAATCAAAACATTTTAATAAATACATGTTGGAAGCAATGCATATGTTTTAAGTTCTCACCCTTGCATTAGAATATATAGAGCAGTTCATATTTTGATGGTATCACGTGGTAATGCTCCATCACAAGTTTCAAATCCATTACACAGTGAATATTGAACTAAAGCTTGACTTAAAAAATTGTAATCGCAAATCAAATCGCAATATCTGTCAGAAAATTCGCAATTACATAGATATTCCCCAAATCGTTCAGCCACTAGTGCATACCTACACCCGGGTTCATTCGCATACAACTATCTGAAAAAAAAATGTGCAGCCACATAACTGGACATAAGCTGTACAGTTCGGAAACGCTACATGCAAATGGATTGAAACGGCTCAATTCTTATCCACACAATTTGATGCATGTATCCTGAGAATAGATTGTACTCGATGTATCGAGATATTTATGTTCATGTTCGCTGCTGCTACCGATGTGCAGTGCACGGTCCAGTTCTGCTTCTAAATTCCATTAGTGCATCATGGCTTATTTTACACCTGTGCAAAGACGACTTCGACGCACTTGTCCTGGGAAGGTTTTCTTTATTAAGGAGCCACGTGCTCACACTTGGACGGGTAGAGACCCCCACTGCAACAGCGCCCGAGTCTCCCACGCATCTCCCTTATATACGGTCCGAGGCAACGCCCCCATTCCCGAACCTTCTCGCTGGTTCTAGACCGCTCGCTCTACCAGCTGTCACCTGGCCACGATCCTATTCTCGATCATTCCCGTAGCTACCAGTCCATTCGCACTGCAGGCTGACTCTCCTGTCATTACACCTGTGTGAGGTGCAATTTCAAGCCACGGCGATGGTGACGATATGTACTTTCTTGCCTCTTATTTACAGTAAAACCTTGGATTGCGAGTAACTTGGTCTGCGAGTGTTTTGCAAGACGAGCAATTTTTTAAAATAAATATTAATTTGATAAACGAGCGAGGTCTTGCAATACGAGTAGTGTACGTATACGCTTTGTCTGCCGAGCGTCACGTGATCACAACTGACATACGAGTGCTTTGATATACGAGTTCTTTGGATTACAAACACGTTTCGGGAACGAATTATGATCGCAATCCAAGGTTTTACTGTACAATGGAGCCTTGTGAAATTACCTCGGTCTTAGCTCTTCAATGGCAATGCAAATGTTGATGTCCGTTAGTCATGAGGGCTTCTAGAGGGAGTTCTTGTACTTTTGATATTACTCCTCTGTCGATGGAGCACCGGCTACAGTGGTTTACGATATGGTCCGTTCACAGTTTGGTTTGCAAGGCCAGAGTTGCACTGCTGTGGCTTGTTTCTTGAATGTACCATTAACAAAGGAGATGTGCCCATCGGCCTGTCAATGATCTGATGCGGTTGATGGTTCCCGAAGTGTCTTCGAGGAATGACAAAGCCAGGAGGTGCGGTATGAGCTAGAAACTATGTTTAGTTTACCAGGTAACGGCCACTGAGCTATATAGCTATTTTTGAGAAGCGACCTGACCGCAAATGATAGCTCAACAAAGTGACTTATCATGTGGAAATGTATAGCAGCCAAATATTTTAAAACGCACGTTTCTAAATGTAGAGGAAAAACCCGGAGGACACGGAGAAAAATCCACGGGACCATGGGGAGAACATGCAAACTCCAAATATACAGGCGTCGGGGTCGGCATCAAACCCACAACCTCTTGTATACCATTCGAGGTGGTTAACATCTCGCCACCGCGATGTTCCGGCCTCGAATGAGGTGTTTATCCTGCACATTCGCGTTGTTCTACTGTGTTCGCCCGCGGGGTTTTTTTTTTTCTCCCAGACCTGGATGAGATTATAGGATTGTGACAGCTGGTGTGGACCCTTGGTTTGTGTAGACACGGGGAGAGAATTGTCTTGATGAGCCTCTAGCTGTCCATGCATGTGCTCCAGCGCGTGTGGATTGACCTGGTCAGCACTGGTCACGGACCAGGTCTGCCCTTGTAATGGAATTAACCTTTTTTTTTTTTTACCACAGCTGATTAATGGGCCACTTCATCCAAAATGTTCCATTGCCTGCTGTAGTGTTAGACTATCGCAGTACAGTGGAGTCTGGATATAAGCAACATGTGTATGGATATGGGGATAAGGCAAAGGGAAACTTTTGTTACAAGCACACGTTGCTTACAGTGAGGGAAGAAAGTATTTGATCCCCTGCTGATTTTGTACGTTTGCCCACTGACAAAGAAATGATCAGTCTATAATTTTAATGGTAGGTTTATTGGAACAGTGAGAGACAGAATAACAAAATCCAGAAAAAGCATGTCAAATATGTTATAAATTGATTTGCATTTTAATGAGGGAAATAAGTATTTGACCCCCTCTCAATCAGAAAGATTTCTGGCTCCCAGGTGTCTTTTATACAGGTAACGAGCTGAGATTATGAGCACACTCTTAAAGGGAGTGCTCCTAATCTCAGCTTGTTACCTGTATAAAAGACACCTGTCCACAGAAGCAATCAATCAATCAGATTCCAAACTCTCCACCATGGCCAAGACCAAAGAGCTCTCCAAGGATGTCAGGGACAAGATTGTAGACCTACACAAGGCTGGAATGGGCTGCAAGACCATTGCCAAGCAGCTTGGTGAGAAGGTGACAATAGTTGCTATGATTATTCGCAAATGGAAGAAACACAAAAGAACTGTAATTTTCCCTCGGCCTGGGGCTCCATGCAAGATCTCACCTCGTGGAGTTGCAATGATCATGAGAACGGTGAGGAATCAGCCCAGATCTACACGGGAGGATCTTGTCAATGATCTCAAGGCAGCTGGGACCATAGTCACCAAGAAAACAATTGGTAACACACTACGCCGTGGACTGAAATCCTGCAGCGCCCGCAAGGTCCCCCTGCTCAAGAAAGCACATATACATGCCCGTCTGAAGTTTGCCAATGAACATCTGAATGAATCAGAGGACAACTGGGTGAAAGTGTTGTGGTCATATGAGACCAAATTGGAGCTCTTTGGCATCAACTCAACTCGCCGTGTTTGGAGGAAGAGGAATGCTGCCTATGACCCCAAGAACACCATCCCCACCGTCAAACATGGAGGTGGAAACATTATGCTTTGGGGGTGTTTTTCTGCTAAGGGGACAGGACAACTTCACCGCATCAAAGTGACGATGGACGGGGCCATGTACCGTCAAATCTTGGGTGAGAACCTCCTTCCCTCAGCCAGGGCATTGAAAATGGGTCGTGGATGGGTATTTCAGCATGACAATGACCCAAAACGCACGGCCAAGGCAACAAAGGAGTGGTTCAAGAAGAAGCACATTAAGGTCCTGGAGTGGCCCAGCCAGTCTCCAGACCTTAATCCCACAGAAAATCTGTGGAGGGAGCTGAAGGTTCGAGTTGCCAAACGTCAGCCTCGAAACCTTAATGACTCGGAGAAGATCTGCAAAGAGGAGTGGGACAAAATCCCACCTGAGATGTGTGCAAACCTAGTGGCCAACAACAAGAAACGTCTGACCTCTGTGATTGCCAACAAGGATTTTGCCACCAAGTACTAAGTCATGTTTTGCAGAGGGGTCAAATACTTATTTCCCTCATTAAAATGCAAATCAATTCATAAAATTTTTGACATGCGTTTTTCTGGATTTTTGTTGTTGTTATTCTGTCTCACACTGTTCAAATAAACCTACCATTAAAATTATAGACTGATCATTTCTTTATCAGTGGGCAAACATACAAAATCAGCAGGGGATCATATACTTTTTTCCCTCACTGTATGTCCGTCTACTATACATTCTAGCAGTTGTCTCGTTTGCTCTTAAATGTAGCAAATTAATTTGGCCTCAATACAAAAGACTGCAGTTGTGACAGCTGATATCCAGCGCTGCAGTTTTAACATGCTCATCTTGTTTGCATTAAACAGTTAGAAATGCGTGTTCACACGAAGCACATCTGACGAAAAGTTATCATAAGCTTGCTCGTTTGCATAATTTAAGAAATGAATCTGTTATACATTTAACCCTTCTGCTACTGGCTGCTTGGCACTTTCAGTCTTTGGCCCCTGTGCTAAGCAACCGTGTTAAATAAATATATACAAGGGTATTCCATGAAGTAAAGAAACATGTTAAGAGTCATTTGAGAAAACATTTGTCCACATTAAACGACAAAATATTTCTCTAAATAGTCACCCGCTACTAAAACACAGTTGTCCCGGCCATCCATAAGCTTCCTAAACCAAGCATCACGGAAGATTTCTGGTTGGCCCCTAAGCCATTATTGCAGCACTGCTTACGCAGCCTCATCGCAGGTGAACCATCATCGATGTAGAGGCTTCTTTCAGAGGCCCGTCCAGATGGAATACCAAAGGGGGTTAGGTCTGGGCTGTTTGCGAGATGTCCCAGAACATCCCATCCGAGCTTTACCATCAATCCCATCGTCGTCGTATGCGCAGAGCGTGTCGCGTGCTCCCCTTTCTCAATCTTACACGCTGTGTTTCTGATGAATGTCAGCCTTCAATTTGTACTCCAACAAATCATAACACGGAGCACTGGTGACGGCTTCGATTTTCCTGGAAGGCGACTGCGATCGCACCCTGCATGTTCCCAATGGTCTTTCCAGGAGCCGATGGGAGTGTGAATGTTTTGTTACTGGAGAACCTGGGTTATTGTCCGTTCAGTGCTGTGGCGCTCATAATGATGACTCCAAAATGGGTTAGTCAGTGATGATGTGGGATTTAGGAACAGGGTCAATAAGGTTTTGCCTTGCGGTGTTTCGTTAAAATTTGCTTTGGTCACGTTTGGGCAAACAAGTGAATTCATAAAGGGGTGCATTATTTATTTGATGCGTAATTCATATTAGAATTGTGAAACGGGTGGTATTGCAAATGGTACATCGCGCTGGAATCAGGCTTGGGCTTCCCCTTGGCCAATCCGCACTGATCACCGATGTGAAATATGGTCAAACAATCCCCGTAACCAACACGGTGCAGAAAGGCCTTGATCCAGTCGTGAACTGGCAAAAGGGCCAGACTAAATGTATTTATTCATTATAGAAAAGTACAATCGCTCAAAGACAAATGCAATTGAAGGCAAGAGGTTTTTTCACATTTTCTGCACCACGATCCTGTAAAGGAAAAAAATAGTTAAACAATGGATCCTTGAAAAAAATATTTCTTTCAAAAATGTCTGAATGTTATTATGCAACAATATTATGCATATCTACTGAGGAGACGGAGCGATAAAATGTATGCATGTTGAACGTCTTTCGCTGCCAATCGTGCGAATCGGCGGAAATCAGCTCAAGGTGCAGGTGATGTGTGGAGGCGGATTTTGGAGAAACCTTCATCCAGCAGCCGATTGCGGAGCACTTACAGATACTGTTTCATACAAATTACTGTGAGCCAACAGTGTACCTCATTCAGATGTTTTCATGACAGCAGGTGAAGGAATTTGAATGGAAGGGAGATCTTTGTTGCTGGGTGCATCTACATAAAACAAGCGTAATGGCATGAGCAATTCTCCAATCATGTACAAAGTGGCTATTTCACTTCTGGTCTTTGAATACAAACTGCCAAATGTTCTAATCTTTTCCTCCCCGACAGTCTACTTCTCAACGATCTCACTTACGTCATGTAATATTTCAGAGAAAAAAAAAACATTGTCGAAAATCAAATACGTGGCTCGCCAAACTGCGAATCATCGACGGTAAAGAATTCTCAACGGAAAACACTTACCTATCTAGCACGACGGAGCTTATCCGTACCCAAAGTAGTTCCACTTGAAGACACATCACTTTCTCCTCGTTAACAAAGTCTCTTTTTAGAGGAGGAGGAGGCGGCGGCGACAGGTTGAGACGGCTTAAACTGTGGTCAATAAGTTTACAGGCGCGGGAAGTGGGTTTCGGGATCTCTGTTACGTTACCGCGTGGGATTCCTATTAATAAAGTGAGGAATGGGGACCTGTCACCATTACCCGGTGATTAATGGACACAGCGCAAAGCGATTACGGCGGAGGGCTGGCCGGCACTTGGGGGCCGCCCCGTGGACACTCCCCCGTGAGCCCTCCAGTAATTTGTTTCAGGATTATGAGGCCGGCTGGAGATTGCCTGGGGATAAGTGGGCCCAGAGAGCTTCCCAAACAGATTTGTACGGCATCGAGGCCGCGCCTCGCGCTCAGCACCCTGTCCATCTCGCCGGGCGCATGATAAACGACGCGTCTTGCACCGCCTTGTGTGCCGGGGAGGGGGGCCCCGCGTCCAGTTTCCCCGCCGGTTTTTCCGCCTCCCCCATTACTCAGTTAATGAAACAAGTGGGGTCATTTATTGCGTGGCCTGGAGAGTTAGGAAGACCTCTCGACATAATTAGGCTTTGGTCAATATCCACCAGTTGTTGACTATTGAGTCTACAAAGGGATAGCCTCGCTGCTGTGCCGCTGCAACTCGCCATCAAGTGCAAGGCTAATTGATCTCACCAGATAATTTCTTGAAGAGACACGGGACACTGCTGTTTTCTTGCAAAACACAAATTGTGCCTCTAACACTGAATTGCACACAGGCTAAAAAAATTCCGTGCTGGCAAAAAAGGCGAATTTAAATAGAGCACGTGCACACGGAATTGTGTTTATTTATATTCTGAAAAGTTTGTACAAAAAAATGCGTAAATGTGCGCTTGAGTGTGACTTTCAATTACGTTGTTCAATTTGTGGCTAAATACCTGAATTCTGAGCATTACCGCTTCCCAAGGCAGAGGTTTTAAAACAAATAGTTGTATTAACGTATGTAACACACCTTGGTGCAAAGCGCTCCGATGTGTTTTCGGCTTGTACCACGTGTTGTTCGCCTCAATGTCCGACGTTTCACTCCACGTGCTGACAGCTCTTTCAGGAACTGCATTAAGCAGTTCACATCACTCAGTGCAACCCGAAAACACGACGGCGAGCGACACAGCACGAACACACGAAAACCTACGCGTTATTACACTTTGGTGTAACTTTAAACAATTTTGCTCGCTCAATTTCCATGCAAAGTACTTGAATGCGAAGACCCCGGGGCCGGCCCAGGACACGATGGCGGGACTACGTCGCTCGGCTGGCGTGGGAACAACGCCTGGGAATTCCCCAGGAAGAGCTGGAGTCCGTCGCCAGGGAAAGGGAGGTCTGGGCCACCACTACTCAACACGCAGCCGCCGCGACTCTCACCAGGACAAGCGGATTGAGAAACGCACGAACGAACCTGAATGCTGAGTATTATTGCTGGCTGCAGTAGAACTCATCACAGGAAAGTAAGATCTTAGGTAAACGGTGTGTGACAATACTCTTGGTCTTCTCTCCGTAGGCTTGTTGATGTCAGGCAACCTGGAACTGCAATACAGTATGTGTCTTTTTGCTCATAGAGTGTGTGGAACGATGAAAATCAGCACGCGCTTGGTGGATCATTACATGACAACATCAGAGATGGCGATAACTGGGGATGTTTTCACATAGCAGTGGCTTTGAGTATAGCTACTGACAATGAACACATCTACTGCTCTGAACAAAATAAAAACACGTGTAACTTTGTGTATTCATTTATTGTCAAGTAACGTGACACCAAACAATGTTTACCTGACATTTTGGTGACCAATGGCAACGCGGCACCGGTCCATCTGTTGGATTCTTGGCAAATTTCCGCACGTGGTTGGGGCCGAACGTTCCTTGTCATCGGCAAAAACAGGAGGCACCGGAGCACGTGATGGCCACCAGTTTGTGGAGTCCGTGGCTTGGCACGCAGAGCTGCCCGTTACGTTGATGGATTTTGACCTTTGCGCGTCTTTAGTATTAGACTTGTGAAAAAAGAGAATGAGGAAAAAAACAAAAACAGCTGTAACTTCGCAACGATTGTCAACGCTACCATTGTGGCGTGCCGCGTGAGGCAAACACATGTCAGCGTGACGGCCATCCTTGCACTGTTAACAAATACCGTATTGCGAAAGCAAATGTGGACTCTTAATGTCACCGTTATTGCAATTACGTTTTCGAAAGGCAATATTACCTTGCTTGCGTATCCATCTGTTGCAGGTTTATTATTATGCTGGCACATCAGAGGCGCACGAGTACTCGAAACCAGATGTGTTTGGTATTCTTTTCCTGGTTTGAAACGTAGTGACCTACAAGGAGAAAAAATATGAAATTGGTGGTGGGGGGAAGAAAATGTCAGGATATTTTTTCCTTCCCCTTTTGTAATAAGCACTCTGATGTTTTGTAAAACTGCAGCGAAGAACTCGTGAGGTGCGCACAGCCGCTGCACGGGGACACCTGTCTGGCCGGGAAAGGAGAGGCTTCCGCAAGAAGAGGCCGGAATGCGTCTCGACAACACTCAAGCACCCCGTTAGGAAGCTGGCGTTTCGCCGCCGCTCCGCCCCAAGAACCCTCAGCCTCCGGCTCCAAGTCGAGGTCCACTGCAACAACAGCGTTTGAGAGACACGGTCACAGTCATAGAGGGTAACCAGAGGCTCGGGTTGGGGGGGGGGGGGTCCTAGACATCCAGGTTGCTGGGAAGACAGTACGGTTGACTAATCACCGTGCCACCACTCCACCGTTTTTGCTATACTATTTGTTAAACACTGCTGCAAGTGAATAGAATGTCCAGCCAAATCATCAGCATCACCATTCACAAACGCCACCTTAATGCATTGAATTATATCAGTATAGCCAGGTAGCTCAGTGATCAGAGCACTGAGCTGCATTGCTCAGATTCTGGATTTTAGTACGGGCAGCCACCCATGAATCAATCGGTTTCTCAAGTGTAGTGTATTGTTGGTCTCAGTCCAGTCACCAATGATTGCACAGCAAGTATCCATTACATAGAATAATGGTTTGCACATAATATGGTTAAATTCCAGCTGGGAGAATGAAAAGATTGTCTGGTTGACCGGCCTTGCAAAGAACATTTCTCTGTAGCAGAGTGTGTGGGAAAGTGCGCCCCCCACCCCCTCCACCCCTAGTGGGTGGATAAAAAAAAGTCACTTGAAGTAATCTCAGAATTAGCTCCTTGATATTCACTTCCATGAAGCCATTCTCTAGCACACTGTGAGAGTTCCAACTGGATTTGCGTGACATGAAGCCAATAAATAAAATGTAGCAAAATACGTTACAATTTTGTTTTTAAAAAGCATCATGAATTGTTAAAAATTAAAAGTGAATATTTAAATATATATATGTATTTGTACGTACCGCGTGAAGATTGAATGATGTTGTGCACAATTGGCATTTGCGAAATGTGATCACACTACACATGTTCAAACTTGTATACTCTTTTCGAGGACTACACTCTGGCAAATGGCGAATTGTATTCAATCTTAGCTGTCTGCTCCATAAACAATGCAAACAACCCAAAGTGTTAGAGAATGGCCCACGGAATCAGTTATCACAGAACTATTTCTGAGATTCCTTTTAACCCAAAAATATCTAATGGGCCTTTTTATGAAACGTGAAACTGTATTCAACTTCAAGCTCACCTCCATGCGGTGGTTATACAAGTTGTTTCGGACCCTCGAGACAATTAAACTTGTCTCTCCCGATGATATCAGATTCTGTTCCATACGCTTGTTTTGGACTTGGACACGGTACTTGTAAACCAGGCAGGCCAGCCTCTCTCTCTGTAGCATGGTGTACTGCTCCATTGCATTCACAATCACCTTCGCAATCATTGCACAACAACATCAACAACGTTACTCTTTGGTTTAATTCGGTAAAGTCATGTAGGTAAAACAAATTAAAATAAAATAAACAATTAAAACACGACGTTTCGGAGGCAACACAAGCTTCCGTCTTCAGGTGGAAACAGTCACAGCAAAAAATCGCTGTTTCCACCTGAAGACGGAAGCTTGTGTTGCCTCCAAAACGTCGTGTTTTAATTGTTTATTTTATTTTAATTTGTTTTACCTACGTGACTTTACCGAATAAAACCAAAGAGTATGAATCCTTGCAGTCACGAAAGCTTCAAATCTAGAATTAACAACAACAACCCCTATAAAAATAAATACCTAACAGGATTATGTTTTTTTTCTGTTTCACAACAAGATGCGTGAGTGCTTCTCTACTTAAAAGGAAAAGGTGCAGCCCTGAAATTGCTCGTTCACGCCACTGCTGGCAGAAGGGCCTCCGCCAAGGGAGCTCTAGAGGAAGGTATTTTTTCCACTCTTTCACACCGGCCAGACATACTGGAAGAGGTGGGAGTACGCACATCTTACGTGAACCCAAACAATCCTCATTTCGTAGCGTGCAGCAACTGGTCGCGCAGCTTGACGTTAGAGTTGCAAAGAGGAAAAGGGGTCAGCTGCCTAAAGCCGCGCCCCTTGCATTCGCAGGTCCCCTTTAACCGGAGCTGGAAAACGCAAGTTGAAAATTTGCTCAGCAGGAGGTTACTCTTATCACAAAGGGCGTAATTGCCTCTTTGTAATAGGCTACTCTATCGGTGCACAAGGCGACCACTGGCAGTGCGACAAAAAACACGAAGCACATTATCGGAGGCTTGCTAAAGTGCCGTTAATTGGTACCTGCAATTAATGAAGCAGATTTTATTGTTTCAAAAAAGTATTTTTCCGCCAACGCCATCCCATTCGGTGCCTATATATATCCATAAGTGTTATTTCAATGATTTGCTAGAATTCCGTGGTTATATTTGACCAACTGTTGTTGGTACCACTATCAGCGCTTGTAATGTCATCCAAGGGTTCATTAGGGATATGTTAGAACCACCTTCAGCTGCTTATCGGACGCACACAATCCCATGCACTCACCACCGTTGTTTATTTTCCACAATCTGCGTGGAATTAATGAAACGCGCCAGCCCTTGTCGTCGCCTCGTCCTGGTTAGGTGCAATAAACTAAACTTAAGTTAGAGAAAATCCACCACGATCAGAGTACGCTATTCCAATGTAAAAATTAACATTTTTTTTTCGTAAAAAAAAAATATATACCTTGGAGAATTGTGTTTATCTCCTGCTGGATAATGTCTTCATCATTCCGTGTTGGTCTTGGGGCCCGTTTTACCATACTTCACCACGCTAGTCAGCGCAGCTTGGATCCCAGGACTGGTTGTGATAGCACCCGCCGCTGATGATAGTTGTGGCCGGATATCAAACTCACTGCACCACCACTGCCCCTATACAAGGCCGTAGCCATGGGGTCAACATTGGGGGAGGACCAAATCTTCCAGGGGGTCTGGGCCCCCCCCCCCCCCCCAGAAAAAAATCTAAATTTGAAAACTAATTTCCTGCCATTTCCTGCCTAAAATATAAAAAAAATTCACTAACACATGGGATGGACTTTTTATTTATTTTTTAACAATAATGTCTAATGGTGTATTGTATTACATTGCTCTGTTTTTTTATTTTTTTTACCTTTTCTTGTTTCATTCTATTTAATGGCAGAGATTAGGGATTAATAAAGTACAACCATAACCACAATAACATAAACATAAATCTATGCATTGTTATATGAAGACAAGTCCAGATATTGTGGCCAAGGTTTAGCAAAATTGTTGTTTTCATTTACATAGCATCAACATTTTTATATTTCTTAAATATTTTTATAGCAATATATTGGGGGGGGGATGTGTCACCCCCCCAATATATATTATAATTATGGCCTTGCCCCTATATGTTTATGCTTGGCTAGTAATTACATCAATATGTAACCCCGCATGCCGTTCATAAAAATAAAAAAAACAGTGTGCTTTGTCACTACATGGGCACTTTGCATTGTCATTTGCAAGTCACCTTGAGATGCCTTTTAAAAGTTGCTGCTGCAGACGGTTTATCATTCAGAGTAGAACATTGTAGGTAAAAGCAATGATGCAAGGAAACTGTTCCGTCTCCACATATAGAGACATTTAAAAAATAATAATTCAGCAATGCACGAGTTTATGTACTGCATCGCTTTTGGCATTCACTGAGGATTCATGGTTTATGTGGAGCACCCTTGACAATGACATCTGGAATCCAACAGCATTTGCTTAGCAAGCCTGACTTCGAATGGCAAGACCTAGAAGGTCGAAACCAGTGCAGAGTTTCCTTTTGTAGACAAATACTACTTGATAACATCGGACTGAAGAGGGTGATTGTTTAAAGCATAGATGTATTTGGACACGGAATAGAGTTTTGCTTTTCGATTTAAAGCTTTCGTGACTGCATGGATTCATCTTCTTGGTTCTTTCGGTAAAGTCACGTAGGATGGAAATAAAATAATACGTTTTATTATGTTTTATTTTTATTATTTTATTTCAATTCTACGTGACTTTACCGAAAGAACCAAGAAGAAGAGATTCGTTTGTTTATATTAGCGGGTTACATTTAATGTAATCAGTTTTCTTTTTCTTCCACTTAGGAGCCCATTGACAGCGCAAGCATCTTCCTGTTTGGCGTGGCCTGGGAATTAAAGAGCACATTTTGGTTTAACCTATCATCGCACTGGGTCGATAAAACGAAGTACCACTTTGGCGGGGAAGGCAAAACTTGTTGTCCTGTGGAAAGCCTTGCTCTTGCCAGAGGAATGTGGAAATTCCATCGCCGGCTCGGGGCTGTAAACGGCGGGTGAGTGCTTCTTCAAATACTCATTTGATCAGGGAAGCACTTTGACTTTTCTCGACTCTATCGAGGCGAGTGTCTCCCTCCCTGCTCACCTCGCACACGCGAGGATGTAGTCGCCCGTCCCGCAGGCCGCGTTTGAGGACCATCGCGTTGTGCTGCAAGTCCATCCACGTGAAGTGGATGCAGCTGTGTTGGCCAGCTTCCACCTGCAGCACGTCATCAGCAGTGACGCGACACTTCCCCAGGTCTTCGGGACGTGTTGCTTGTCCCTGTGAGATGCAAAGGGCTTGAAAGGATTCCATTTTAATTTGCGTTTGTGAGCTGGCACGAGCACTCTCGTGCCGTGGACATTTGCGTCTGTTTCGTTTGACTGAAACTCACATCCCTTTATATTCTTGGTTCTTTCGGTAAAGTCACGTGGAAGGGAAACAATAAAATAATAAGATTATAAAACAATATATTTGTATTATTTTATTGTTTCCCTTTTTATTATTTTATCGTTTCCCTTCTACGTGACTTTACCGAGAGGACCAAGAATATGAATCCCTGCAGTCACGAAAGCTCTAAATCAAAATTTCACATCCCTTTGTTAATCCACTGCTGGATGGAGTCCTCCCCATGCTGTCTCAAACGTGGGAGGTTGTTTGATCATATTTCACCCGCGCCGGTCAGTGCGAGATTCTGAATGGTTGGAGCCCAGGCCACTGATGTTAGCCGTGAACGGGTATCATACTCAGGTCACGAACCACTGCACCACTATATTCTTGGTTCTTTCGGTAAAGTCACGTACTGTAGAAGGGAAACAATAAAATAATACGAATATAAAACAATTAAATTCTCACGACGTTTCGACTGCAACACAAGCAATCATCATTTTTTGTGAAAACCACAGCAAGAACATTTTCTTGCTGTGGTTTTCACACCTGATGATGAAACGTCGTGAGAATTTTATTGTTTTATATTTTTTTATTATTTTATCGTTTCCCTTCTACGTGACTTTACCGAAAGAACCAAGCATATGAATCCCTGCAGTCACGAAAGCTTTAAATCACTGCACCACTGTTAATGATTGCCAACCTTGACATATGCAACGTGTGCAGTATTAAGGCAAAGGCGCCTGCTCGTTGCCATTGCTGACGGAGGGACCTCCACGAGAGAGCGGTACTCTGGAGAGCCACTCTTCTAAAGCGACTTTTGGCCTACTCTTCCATGCTGGCCAGAGGCCTTGGAAGAGCACTTTAATGAGAGCGTACTCGAAACACCGAAAGTCACTGCAGGTGTACAGTACTCTGCGTTGTGAAGACAAGTCTGGAAACGTTCACAAAAAAAAAAAGTTCAAATAGGACCTTTTCGTACCCACAGACAAACGTGTACACGCCGTATCCAGGATACTAAATACACAGTGCGTGTGGCATTTGCAACACAGCTGCACATTACTTTAGTTCGGCAAAAAACAAATACTGTGCGCGCTGACATGAAAGTACAGTGGGGTGTTTGAAATACACTACTTGATATAAGTTCTCTGCTGATCTTTGATCAACCTATAAGGCAAGACATTTGAAACCCCACCATCACAGAAACACATGCTGCGCCACAGATATTTATGGCACAAACGCTTTTCCACCACATAGGCGTCTGTAAATAGACATGTGCCGCAGCAGTGTAAATTGTCATGCCCATGATCATTTCGGAAGCTAAGCAAGAACGACCATAGATAGTGTTTCGATAATCGGTTGCTGTTGGGGAGATTATATAGTCGGCAGCATAGGGCAGGGCAGAAAAATATATGTGTGTACCGTAGTATGCTCCCACGTCTATGTTCCCCAACTTTCAACAACCATCACTGACCGGCGTGGTGAAGTATGGTCAAATAACCCCTCCACCACTCTCACGCCATGGAGAGGCTTTTATTTGGCAATGGCATCACACAAAAAAATGGCTGCACGTGTGTTTAGTATGTGGTGGCGGTACTAACACAATCGTGGTTCGGTTCTCTCTGTAATGGGTGAGCGGCCTCCTTCGCCTGGGACAGCTCTGCCTTCTCGTGCGAGTCCACGCTGTGCTGATGTCTCATGCCCCCTTCACGGTGCTCCCTACGCCAAGAAGGAAGGGCAGAAGAGTTATAACTACGGTTCGTAAATTGCGGGTCCACTGACGTTATAAACTGGGTCACGCGCGCCAGGCAATTTATTGGCACTTAAAACGTTACCTGTGTTATGAGACGGGGAAAGCACATTTCACAAAAAATGTCCAAACACGTTCTCTCAAATTTATATTCTATTTTCATGATAAACAGTGGCACGTGACACGAGAATTGGCGGACGAGCCAACTGTCAATAGAGACTCACAATCCGTGCAGCCTTGTTTGCGGTTCCGCTCTCAAGGTATTCTCAATGGTGTTTTCGTGGCAAGAGAAGGCAGATTCGGAACTGCACAGCTGTTGAATCGCTGGGAGAGAAAGAACGATATGATTGATGTACTAAAAAATCATTCCAAGAAACATCGTAATGCGTGTCTATCGCTTAGCCTTGCAAACACATCTCTGGGCCGGTCCATCGCTGGATAAGCCAGTTTTTCATCAAAATGACCACTCTTCCCATTGTCTGTTTAAAAGACCTTTTCATTGCTCAGCGATCAGGCCTCTTCACAGCGACTCTTTCACAGTTAACCCTTCCAGTGATCGTACCTGTGAGTAGAGTAGCCACTTAAATGCAAAAAAAAAAAACACCGGGGCATATCATGGAAACATCTCTCAATATCTGAAGTAAAGGAGAACTACATGTAAATGCATTGTCTGGAATGGTGAATTATTAGACAACAGACAAATACTGTGACTTTTAATGATATTGTTATTTATTAATTTGTACAAAAAAGCCCCACTGAGTATCAAGACATCTTAAGGAGGTTCCTGCCATGTTTTGCAGCAGAGGGTGACATTTTTTTTTATTAAGATTTTCCCCAATTGAGTAATATTCAGGTATTTTTTTCAACATTTCTGCAAATTTGGACCTTGACGCCAGCACACATAACCTGCTAATTTTGGAATAACATCACAGGATCCCTTAACATTTACCGTGAAGAAGACGGCGCAAATGTTACGACTAACACGCCCGCAGAATGCACCATGGTGGCTGTGGCGCTGTAACCGTAAAACTTCGCATTAAATTGGAAAAAATGCAACCAATCGACCAAGTCACCGCCCATGTCCAGGAATGACTTACATATTTCCCAGGGCAAGCAGGCTCAAAAGCAGACAATCCTCGAAAAAACTGGAAAAAACCAGCGGGCACCGTGAATGGCGAGATGTTAACTCCCTCGAATGGTATGCAGGAGGGCTGTGAGTTCGATCCAGACCCTGACGCCTGTATATTTGGATTTTGCATGTTCTCCCCGTGGTCGTGTGGATTTTTCTCCGGGTACCTCCGGTTTTTCCCTCCGCATTTCGAAACACGCGTTTAGAGTTATTTGGCTGCTATAAATGCCCCCATGATAAGCCACTTCGTTGAGCCATCATTTGTGGCCAGTTCGCTTCTGAAAAAAAGAGCTATATAGCTCAGTTGGGGCTTACCTGGTAAAATAAAAACAGTTCATAGTTTAGATGAGGTGACAACCATGCCTGTGAGAGCGCTCGTCAGAAGCTGTTGGCTGTAGAGCTCAAGCCTACAGGGCAGTGCCGGTAACTCCCCAGAAATGAACTCCATGGCCGGGACAGGAGGCAGCAGTTCCTCTGCAGCAGTCCCTACACAAGGGACCAGCAAAGGGCACGAGACACCTGTTGACAATACCGCCGTGAAATAGTATTCATGCCGATTCGAGAGAACTCGAACGACAGTATATTGACAAGGACAATGATGATGATCATCAGCAGCCATCATCAATCCACTCGTGGATGAAGGACTCCCCAAGTTGTTGTCACGTCTCACCACGGTCCTGCGATGCCACAATCCATCGAGCGTACGCATACAAAATGTTCCATCTCTGCTGCGGATGTCCTCTCCGGGGTGTTCCCCACTCTGGTTGCCACTTTGTCATTGTTCTTGACCTACATCGGCCATGCGTCCTGTCCAAGCCCACTTACTTTTCTTCCAAGTCTATGTGGTTTCTCTCGCTAATATTCTCCAATCCATGTGCTTCTCTCTCTGCATCTCAGTGTAATTCCAAGCATGCACCTTTCCATGCTTCTGTTCATACTTGTTCAATGTTGTTTCATCTTTTTTTCCAAACTAAATGTTTTCTTAGGTTATATACACTGTATTCTTGGTTCTTTCGGTAAAGTCACGTAGAAGGGAAACAAAATTTATATACACTGATTAGCACCTTTATTAAGTTTGGAACATCGATATGTTTGTTTTTATTGATTACGTTCAGTCATGCTCAGAGTGTCGAATAATTTCCTGATAAGTTGAATACTAGAAAGACTTCCGGTGAATATTAGAAAATAATTCTGCATTCCATAAGTCAACGTAATTCCCGGCTCAAATGAGCACTTGGGCGATGCTCATTTCCTATTGATAGCCTTGAGCCAGTGGTAGAAATTCCACTTTCCCATGCTGGGGATGAGTCGCTCCGCAGGGCAACCACTGTTGTCATTTTTTGAGAGGCCCTCAAATAATAATAATAATACAGAGGTAGGAAACACCACGCTAAACGCGACGCATTTCACCTGACTCTCGCAGCACGTGGCTCAGAGACTCGTGGAACCTCACAAGGCCTGCGTACACCCGTTCACGCTGTGGCCGCGACGCCGGCGACGAGAGCCGGGCGCGGGCACCAGCGCGGGCGAAGTCTAGGACAAGACAAGAGAAATTCATTTTCGCCCGGGGCAGAGCCGAGAGAATAAATCATGGCCTTTAGGTCAGGCAGCTGGCTCAGGCGATAAGGAAGCTGGAACACCCAGGGCAGACTCCCGTTGCCTGTGCCCTGCACAGCCAACAAAACAGCTTAATCAACGGCCGGACAGAGGCGTTAGACTTTTCTGCGCACACCCTTTGAGGTAAAGTGCGACCAAATACGGAGCCGAGTTTATGTGTCCCCCAATGTCCAGAACTGTCACTTTAAAGCGTGTATATTGTCACTGTCTGGATTTTACAAGCGTGGAACTTGACACCACTACGCTGGGAGTAACACCGCCGTCCTTGTATTGAGAAAGAGTTTTGACAGGCTGCATGGATGAAGATTAACTCGGCGTCTTTAAAGCCAGCATGTTCTTTTTTTTTCTTCCAGCAATTAATACGCTACCGTCATTATAATGCACACGGTATATACGAAAGGCTCGCGATGTCAACAGAGCAACGATGATGAGTTTAACCGTAGACTTGTTGGCCATGACGCGCGGGTGACAGACGCAGGAGATGGTGACTGCAGGTACAAAACTTTTAACGTTGAGCCCAAGGCAGAAATGAACGCGTTTGCACAAAGAGTTAATGCCCTGTGATTAATGTTGCGGCTGTTTTAGCTGCAACTTTAAATGGTGATAAATCTTACTTTAAAAAAAAATTATCTGATGTTTCACAATGCACATTTATTAATGTGATGCACTGTGGAAGCAAATGTACTTTTTAGCTTGGACAAATGGGTAAATTCTCTCTATTCTATATTTTAATCTCGAGAAAACATTTTTTTCCACAGTTTACACATAAAAACTGGGAATGATTCAGCACATTTTTTTTACCGCAGTGTACCATGTATTGCAGTAGCCATATAGTAGCCTTACGTAGCCACAGTTTACACTACGATAAATACTATTGCGCTACTGACATTGCACAAATTTAGTATCACATTAATTATTGTGATGATAAAAATGTAATCTTTTACAGACTTTTGAAACACCATGTACATTTAACGACGTACAATTACAATTTTACCAAACACTGTTAACATTTTGTTGTCCTTTCCCCACACCTCTGATTAGCAGGTGGCTTTGTACGGTGCAAAATAAGTTCAACACACATACTTTCTTTCGACATTACACATCGGAACACCAGCTTCTGAACAAACGCAAACGTTTAAAATTTCCAATCTGCCGCTGGCTGAATGCTTCCCCGCCCCGAAGCTGTCCCCATCTCTCACGGTCCTGCGATGCAACAATCCATCTAACGCCTGCACACCCACGAGCTGATTTCAGTCCTCAATGCGGTTCGGAAAACGTTAACATTTTCTATAAAAGCATCGCCCTCAAGCATTTAGCCATTAGATCGTGGCCCTAATTATCGCACTCGGCTAGCTGCCCGTGCCTCGTATCTCGCAAGGTGCCCACCGTTTGGTCGTCCAGCTGCAGGATCGGGGCGGACGGACTGTGCGGAACTCCACTTTTCATTAGGCGATGGCAGGAGCCTCACTCGAGCTGCAGTGTGTCCGTTTGTATCTGCCTCCAGCTGTGCCGACCATCGTTCACTCGCATGTAATGAACACGTAGGGGCTCGCGACCAGCCTCCTCCCTGACAAATCTGTCACATTTCAACGTATTCACCATTGCGTTGAGCGTTTGGCATAATTTAAATTGAGCTGAAAAACGGACGCGTGCAAGCACGGAAATGACGGCGGGGTCCCCTTTGACGCTCGCCGTCCTCGCGGGACGCAACGCGGCTGCAGGGCTTCGCCGGCAGCGTGCCGTCTGCCGTGAAAGCAACGTCGCCACCAACTCGGGTGCATCATTCAAAAGAGCGGATTGTCTTTTTTTATTTTACCATTGAAATATAATTAACTTTGTCAACCCACTGCTGGATGAAGGCCTCCTCATGACCCACGGATTGATTTACAACCCCTATCAATCCACTGCTGGTTGACCCCGTTGATCCATGGGGGGTTGTGTGACCATAGTTCACTGCACTGGTCAGTGCAGCGCGGTGAATGGGATTGGGTCAGGATTGGTTCGGACGTCACTCGCCACTGACGTTAGCCGTGGCCAGAAATCGACCTCAAGTTGCCAGGTATTTTTAGCACCAGCGTTCCACACCCCACTACCATGAACATGATCGAAATGTTCTTAAAAATACACGCAATATATGTATAGAAAGTCAGGTTTTTTTTGTTAACCTTAAAAAAATTTCGTTTTCGCCTATTGTCATTGTCCGTGTTTGCATTGGGACATATCCAAATAATATAATCTTACTTTCCAAAGCTTAAACACATAAATAAAGGTGCCAGAACACTCGTAACATTTATTATACATAATTGACGCATGCTGAGGCATCCCGTGCCAGGAAATAAAGGCAAAGCACGTGTAGTAGGTAATCTCACAGTTTGAATCCACGTTCAACATTAAACATAAAGCGATAGCGGCGATGGACGATGTATGCCAAGCACTTTACATAGCACACACTGGTGTGAGTGTCAGCCCGATATGATAACTGGGGGGAGGGGGGGGGAAGTTAGAGGGGGGTGGATGCCGACGACCATAAATTCCCCCTCAGCTATCTGCAGGGTCTTGTCATCTTTAGGTGCCTGCCTCCGCATGTGGGCTGTTTTGATTGCCGTGAGTAATAATCCTTCATTTGAACAATTCTCATTCACCGGCACGAGCGCGCATACGCGGCTCTGTGGTGCAGAAGGACCCACGACAAGCTGCAGAGCGGGGGAGCCCCGACTTTGTGCCCGTGGTTTAAATGGTGAGCGCCCTAGACTGGCGATGCAGAGGTCGCCTGGACTGGCAATGCAGAGGTTCGATCTCGCTGCGTGAGATAATGGCGCAAGTTTTCTTGAATCCTCCCCCACCGAACTCTGTCCGCTCGTCGGTATAAATGAGTGCACCGCGGTTTGCCGATCGTCAGGTCGCGTGTGGTGGCGATAGAATGTGGGAACTCCCACCTCTTTCAAGACGTCTGGCCGGCGTGGAAGAGGGGGCCAGGTGCAGCCCTGCAAGCAATTGCAGGGCTGCACCCTTTACCTGTTGGTCGCCGTCACCCGGATCCACTGGCTGTCGCGTCTCGCTCGAGTTGCATTCAGGAGCGGGAAGCCATTCCCGCTCACTTTCAATCCCGTGCCATTGCTCTCCACTCTCCTGCTGCAGGCGAGCGAAATGTAAATGATGAGTTTCGGCATCGCAGAGTCCTACCGTTGCCTAGGCCCTCAGGGTGGTGCAGCTGCGCGGCTCCCCGATGTATTGGTGGGGTGAGCCGCGTTTTGTTCGCTCGGTGTCCGGCGGTTTGCGACACCGTGCAGGGAGCCTCTTTAGTTCCTCTCAGATTCGGAATATTTATTTTACACTCGGGGTATGGCAGCAAGAGCAGTTTATGCTGCACACGTTTGACGCAACGACCCTGCGTTGACTATGCGTGATGAATGAATGGATGGATTGGATGAGCTATGAAGCTCTTTTTCACAGATGTCCAGAAGGGGTGGGTCAGAACGTTACAACAACAAACAATACAAAAACACGATAGGATCTTCTTTGGTTCTTTCGGTAAAGTCACGTAGAATGAGAATAAAATAATAAATTGATAAAATAAAATAACACAATAATATTCTCACGACGTTTCGGCCACAACGCAAGCGGCCTTCATCAGGTGAAGGGACGAGACTGTCTGGTAGGATTATTTTATTCCCATTCTACGTGACTTTACGAAAAGAACCAAAGAAGATGAATCCTTGCAGTCACGAAAGCTTTAAATCGAAACACGATAGGAGTGCAAAGTATAGGAAAGGTAAACAAATCGCTTTTTAAAAATGTACAAATACAACTAAACTATATTCTTGGTTCTTTCGGTAAAGTCACGTAGAAGGGAAACAATAAAATAGTAAAAATATAAAACAATTATTTTATTGTTTCCCTTCTACGTGGTGACTTTACCGAAAGAACCAAGAATATGAATCCCTGCAGTCACGAAAGCTTTAAATCAAAACAACTGAACTACTTTTTTAAATCTTACCAGATAAGGCCCACTGAGCTCTATAACTCTTTTTCAGAAACGACCTGGCCGCAAATGATAGCTCATCGAATTGGCTTATCACGTGGGAATTTATAGCAGGCAAATACGATAAAACACATGTTTCAAAATATGGAGGGAAAAACCGGAGAAGCCATAGACAAATCAATGCGATCACGGGGAGAACGTGGTGCAAACTCCAAATATGCAGCAGGCGTCAGGGTCGGGATTGAACCCACGAACCCATTCAACACCAGGCGAGGAAGTTGTGTGCTTCACTCCAGCGTGTGCACCGCCTACGACGATGGTCAAAAACGGAACTGTATGCATCAGGGGAAATGGTGAATGCAATTTCAGTGTAGAATGTTAAATCGTGAGCTGTGTTATGCGCATCAAACGGCGAGAGTGTCTGTGGGCAACGGAGACTCTGAGACTATTGGACTATGAACCCAGCAACTTGAATTTGATTCCTGGCCATTGCTAACATCAGTGGTGAGTGATATCTGAAACAGTTCTAGGTGCCCCCTTTTACCAACCCACACTCACCATTATGGTGAAGTATGGTCAAACAGCCCCACATGACCAATGCAGTGAGGGTAAGCCTTCATCGAGCAGTGGATTTTCAAAGAGCTATAAATCATGTTATACGTACATGTCTCTTTCGCCATGTCTCCCTTTTCGGCAGCAGCCCCAGGCAAATAAATAATAACACCAATAATAATTATAAAAGATTACTGTAGTTGTGGAAGGTTTTCTTAAGCCACATGTGTCAGTGGACTTGTTACCTTTGTTGTGTTGAATGTACATCCGACAGCCATTGCACTGGGGAATTATGGAGACATAAATACTTTGGGTTTTTTACAGTAAATAATTCCATCTTCTTGGTTCTTTCGGTAAAGTCACGTAGAATGGAAATAAAATAATTTCCAGTCTACGTGACTTTACCAAGAAGATGAATCCCTGCAGTCACGAAAGCTTTAAATCGAAATTTAAATAATTCAAATTATTTATCCAGAAAAGCCTCACTTAGTCTAGAGGCTCTTTCTTCAGGAGAGTTTCTGTGTTAGGATATTCTACCAATGCCATCGATGAGTATTTGGCTTCATGTGGGAGGAAACCGGAGTTCCTGGGTGAACCCCACACGTATGGGAGGGTGACACTCAACACTACAATCCCATGGCCACCTCGCAGCCAAAGTCTACAACACAGCCATATAGGTTGACTGTTGGGGCAAGTGCTGTTAATGAGCACCTATGAAGACCAGCACGGCACACGAGGGGGTGGGTGACCAACAACTACGCCCGGCCGCCTTTGTCTCCCTCGTGGCGATATTTACACACCACATTGGGGACTCATTTGAGGCTGAGTCGACTTAGGGGATGCCCGGGGCTGGTTTAGATAAACGTCACTGGTGTTGGCCGTGAGCGGTAATCGAATCCGGGTTCGTAGCACAGTGCGCTAACCGCAACACTATCGCATGCATGCACGCACGCGCTCACACACAATCACGTTGATGCTGTTCTCTATAGAATCCTATAACATGGTAAGATTATATTCTTGGTTCTTTCGGTAAAGTCACGTAGAAGGGCATAAATAATAAAATAATAAAAAATAAAATTCTCACGACGTTTCGATTGCAACACAAGCAATCATCATCAGGTGTGAAAACCACAACAATATTTTTTTTAAAAAAAGTGGCGTTTTTTCTGATGATTGCTTGTGTTGCAATCGAAACGTCGTGAGAATTGTATTGTTTTATTATTTTATTATTTCCCTTCTACGTGGTGACTTTACCGAAAGAACCAAGACTATGAATCCCTGCAGTCACGAAAGCTTTACATCGAAATGGTAAGATTACTTTGATTTTAATATAAATAGAGGAGTGGCACGGAATTTTTCAAAGACGTCGGCGATCATCACGGCCTTCGTTACATGTATCTCTGTGCATGATATTTGCTCAAGAACTTTGCATTACTCCCAGTTGCATACAATTATTGAGTTGCTTATGTAACCTCATTCGCTGTCTTCCCTATCTTCATGAACTATGATTTTTCTATTCAAAACGTGTTTATATTCAGTCAATTTTTTTTCTCATGGTATGTTTTATTGTGATATGCACTTCCTATTCTCCTGTGCTGATGGCTTTCTCTTCCACATTATTAAGACATTCACCTCCTTCCTTTGTGATGCACGTCCCACTGTTTGTGTTCAGTGTTGAGACGCGGTTTGTATTTAATCGCCGTACAAAAATCCAAATTCGACTTCGTGTATGAGTGCCGCAAAAGTGTTACCTCAAAGGCAGAACATGAATGCAAATGCAAATGCAACTGTGTTTATAGACGCAACAAACGAAATCAAATTACACTAACACCTACCCTATGGTTTACCTCAAGCCAAACTTTAAACATAACTGTTACGTACGATTACCTTAAAAAGAACACTTGTCAGGGACGTAGATTTCGTTTGGGAGGTTCGCGATTTATTTTCTACATTATTTAAACATTTTTAAAACAACACAGTTATGGCTGTTGATGTTTTATGTCCCATAAGTTAAAACTGCCAACCGAAGCAGCACGCTACACGGACGGCGAACACTTGACCGCGGCTATTTAACAGCATCAAGACGAGCATCTCGACCAGACGGCTCGCCCTTGATTTAAACATTTTTTTTTAAAAAAAAGTGGACGTCCGCTACTTTAAACTGAAGAGGAAAACAAAAGATTGAGCTTCCAGAAAAAAATAATTATTTTAAAATATTCTTGAACCGTCTGAGCAACTTTAAAAAAAAATGTGCAGACACGCAGGCGCACTTAAGATAAATATTGTGTAACCTAAAACATCTGTTACACAGACTTTTCCCAATACTCTTTTTGCCGAGACAACTTTTTTTCTCCCTTTGTGTACAAACATGTCAGGAAATGAACTGTCTCGCTTTGTTACAATTTTCTTAACTTAAATGACCTTAACAGACATTGAGAACTGTTGGGGGCAAGTCGAAGGCGTTGTTTTCACAAACCTACGCTCGGGGCGAGACGATTAATACATATCACGAGTTTGAGTCCTACATTTGAAAAAGTGTGCTCTTTGTAAAAGGTTCTAATGAGGGGAAGTAAACACGATCTTTTCTTGTTGAAAGGATAGCGTCATTTTTCGACACATTTTCATAATAATTTACATTCCTTTGTTAATCCACTCCTCCATGAAGGCCTCTCCAAGCTACGTCGATCTTGTGGGTTGTTGAACCATACGTTACCACGATGGTTTGTGCGAGTTCGTGAAGGGGGCCAACCCAGTAAATATGCCAACGTTGGCCCAACGTTCCATGTTTACTGGAAACACATTACTGGTTCAGATATCAATTGCCCCTCATTTCAGGCATTCAGGCTCAGAGTGCAGTGCCCTAACCACCGTGCCGCCACTTAATGATGGCTAAGCTTTAGACAAAAGCTTATAATAATAATCTCTTTATACCTAAAAGCATACTGCAAAAAGAGCAGACATTTTTAAAGGCCAACAATACAAATAACAAAAATATGGCCGCATTGTTTTCATGGCTTAGTTAAAGGTTAGGATCAATTTAACAATTCCTACATTTCCACTGCGAACTGACGGACCGATGGCCATCGCGCGAGTGATTTCATGACGCCTGCTGACGTCCAACATGAAGTGGCCAGCGCCTTTTAATCAACGGTCTGCAGCATGAGCAGGCGATGGGTAAAAGAACGGACCCACGGGATTCGTGCACACCGGCTGAGGTGCACCCACGCAGTACCGAGCCCCGCGCCAGTTACCATTTTACCATTCTAAATGTTTTTTTGTTATTTGACCACGTAAGGCCCGCTGAGCTATACGGCTCTTTTTCCAGAAGCTAACCTGGCTATCAAAAATGACAGCTCAACGAAAGTGGCTCATCGTGTGGACATTTATCGCAGCCAAACACTCTCAACGCATGTGTCTAAATGTGGAGGGAAAAACCGGAGGACACGGAGAAAAATCCACGCGACCACGGGGAGAGAGAGAGACACCGCAAACTCCAAATGTACAGGAGCCGAGGTCGGGATTGCGCCCACGACCTCCTGCATACCAGGCAAAGGTAGTCAACATCTCGCCTCCATGCCAGACGCGCCCCTGGGCACCGCTCCGGTTATAAAGCGGCGATCCCTCTGCCATTAGCGCATACAGCGGAGTGCATGACATTTGCACGCGCGCACGTGCCACCGTCGTTAATAGCGGGACGCGCAAAGTTTTTCCGGCACGCGTTATTGGAAGGCCGGGTCCGATTGCTCAATTCGCGCCATCAATCGTCTTAACGAGCGAGGCGCTATCTCCCCGCGGCATAGAGTGGCGTGATGGAAGCTCTTCCTCCCGCGGCCTAGCCTCAAGGCGTGAGGACAAATTGATGGGGGGCTGCTAATGCTTGTCCCTCGACGTAATTATTTTTTATCGCTCTCGATCTTAAGCAATGCATTTAAATTTACAGCCCCTCCGCCTTCGCCACTTCTTGAAGCGATGCTGCGCATTCCGTAGCGGTGGGCCGGTGGAGCGCGTGTGTGTGTGTTGTGTGTGTGGGGGGGGGTTAAAAGAAATACTCACCGGGACACCGTCGCAATCCGTCAGGTTCACGCTCGCAGCCACCGCAGGGTCTTCTGTGTTCGCCGGGCAAGCTGTCAAAAAAGGCAGCACGCACGTTGGAGCGCGTAAGTGTGCAGGCACGTGTAAGCTCGTGGGGCAGCGATGTAATGTCATGTCCGACCGGAAAAGAGCACAACTGCCTCGGCAGGCCATTTAATTTTAATTGTATTTTCAAAGTGTAAGTAATACATCATTGGAGGGCAATTGACAAAACGGCGCGTGCGGGGTTTTACATTACGGCCAAGCCCCCGCGCATTGAACAGCGGTGCGGAACGAGAGCAGAATCTATTTGATAATGAACTGGAGGAGACACATTACGCTCGGGCGTCGATGCCGTTATATTGTTGTGAAGCGCGTGGCCTCCCGTAATGATTCCCTTCTCCACGCCGGTCCCGGGAGAAATGTCCTCCGAGTTTTGCTGCGAACACAAAAAAATATATATCTATATATCTATATCTATGAATGCATCGGTGAGTACCGCGCGCTGCGGTGTCGAGAGGGCACACGTGGCAACTCGCTGATCGCGCCGAGTGAACTGGAAGGAAGATCGCCACGGCAGGGGCGAGCGTCGACCCTTCTCAGCTCGCTGGTTGGTGTCCGAAGATCACTCCTGCGGCGTGACCGACGTCAATTCTCGGGGTCACGGGAAAAAAAAAAAAACCATTGCGAAAGTCGTACAAGTTGAAGGGGAGGCGTGAGCGAAACACGCGCAGCTCGTATTTAAAGTAGGACAAGGGTGGGGAAATAATGCCGGGGGGGGGGTGGGTTATATGTTTGAGTAGGTACGCACTGACGCAGCGGTTGAGAAAGAACGTGCACCATTCCTCGCACGTTGCCTGCAACCGCAGCCGTATTCATGGGCACACGCTGCAGCCAATCGATCACCAAGTCACGTGTGGTGGGGTAAAGTGTGGGTGCTAACAGCTCTTCCAAGACGTCTGCCCAGCATGGAGGAGTAGGCAAAATACCCTCCTCTAGAAGAGTTCTCTGGAGCGCCCCTCCGCTGAAGGCCCTTCCACCAGCAGTGGCATGAGCAATACTTTGCCCACATCCGATTAGCGCGAGTGGCTACGTACGGTGTGAAATAAGTTCAACATACATACGTACAGGTATTTTTAAAAATACTTTTACCCCGATGTATAAAAAAAAATACAACGTGTAGCTCGTGGATCCTTATCCATTGTTAAATCATCATTTTGACAGGCGCATGAGTGGCACGGTTGAAATGTTGCCGACATATTCATTTTATAGGTTTGTGTTTGTTTGATTTCAACTGCAAAACGTGGGTGATCTTCAATAGCACACGACAGAGGTACGAGAGACGATCAAACTCGAGATGCTGGCAAACAACCTGAAGTTCGATACGACAACCCGTGTCGCCAAAGCCACGTGGAGGGTTTGGAGGGGGATGGGTCTCGTGTCGTAAAAAAATAAAATTACTCTCTTAAGAGTGTGCGTACGTGTGTGTGTGTGTATGTATGTTGAACTTATTTCGCACCTTAAGTAGCCAACTGCTCACCGAAGGTGTGTGCGAGTGTGTGTGTGTGTATGGTTTTATTGAACTGGCTGAAATTGCGGTAAAATTATAATTCTACAATGATGTATGTACCCTGTAAATTCTATACGTGTATGTTTGGGGCAAGCTCCATTGTCACACAGTGGTAAACGGATTGCGCTATGAACCTGCCTACCTGAGTTTGATTCCAGGCCACGGCTAACATGAGTGGCGAGTGACAAGTGAACCAGTGTCTAGGGGGCCCTATTCCCGAACCAGAATGGTGACCAGCGTGGTGAAATATGGCAAAACAAACCCTGTAAACCAACACATTGTAGATAGGATATCATCCAGCGGTGGATTGATAAAGGGTTGCATACTTATTTTTATTATTTGAACATGTCTACAGGCAGAATATGTTGCTCGAAACAGAATTAGGGCCGTCCATAAATGACGTCACGCGGTTTTTTACGATTTTTGACCCCCCCCCCGCTCGTCACACGGCGTCACAAAAAGTCAGACCCCCCCCTCAAATATGACGTCACAAAGCTCCCCCCCCCAACCATATTTCCATTTTGAAGATAAAAAAATGCTTCAAATCGCTTTAAACTATTGTCATTGTAGTGCGTATTTAATGTGGCGCTGCACTCTGATGTTGTAGGAAAAAACATTTATTAAATAGTCTATTTAATTAAGTAGAACGTATTGTCAATATTTATTTAAAGTTGCGCATTTTGACGTGACGTCATATTTCTCACACATCGTCACAAATGTCTGACCCCCCCCCCCCCCCAGGTGCGTGACGTCATTTAGGGACGGCCCCTTAAGTCAACGGGGGCACTTTTAACTTGAATACATTTCCTAACCGTTTAAACGATGTCACTCTCCAACGTTCGAGCTTTGTCTCAATGACATCGGGGGTTAGGTAAATAGTCTTGGCGTTCCACTAAGAGCACGTGTCCCTCCACTCCGTGTGGATCGCGTTCATGAAGAACGACGTGTTTTGTGGTCACCTATAGTTCTTAGAATATTTTTGTTTGTACGAATGAAAAATGTACGGGCTGATGGATAAAATGATTAAATAGAACCTTCAACCCTTGAACAATCTATGTATTGACTTTGTGCATGTAGCTTGCTTATTAACACAGCGAATAATTCTTCATCGCCAATATTGACTTCTTCTATAGGTAACGCCATCAGTCTTTTTTGGCCTTTTCCCAAAGAATATGTCTAAACCATTTATTATATTTGATAACCGTGACAATTACAAAATGTCAATTACCAGGTTGTTACTACCGGTCATGTTTTAACTTAGCCACTTACTGTACATGTAGTTGTGTATATTCTCATAAAATGAAAATTACGATAAAACATTTTTTTTTTTACAACTAAGCTATTCCACACGAGAATTCGTGGTTAAAAATTCCAACAGCGCCTTAAAAGAACCATAATAATAATATATCGCAAAACGGAGGCAACGTTCGATCGAGAACTCGGAGGTGCGGAGTCAGAGCTAGAATCGGCTGCTCTTGGACCTCTACCCACATAGGGAAGTTGAAGGTCAATGGCCAAGGGTAATGACGGAGTCGTAGCCAAAGAACAGAATGCGTCTGAGAAGACATCCGCCGAGGAGATGGACACCTGCAGGGGAAGGATGCTCAGGTGCTGGGTGAATTCTTGTGCATTTCGTGATCATGGGGGGATGGTGGTGGCTTGGCGAGGTAGGCCTTCATCCAGCAAGTGGATTGATCAAGGTTACTGATATATAATGTTGCCTAGCAGCCGATTGGCAATCGGAATTTATGTTATCCAGTGAAAATTGTGTTGAAAGACAAAACTTTTGTCCGGTCTCTTCTTTTTTGTTTGTATCTCATCGGAAACAGCTTCGCTATGAAGACTGTAATGAAGTAAGGTATGCACAGATACTTGCCGTACCTCCAGCGCAGGGCAGACAGGGCCGTGGGGAGAGCGTGCTGGCGAGGGGTCCATAACGAAGCCGTGGTGGCCACTCCGAGGGTTGACTGTCTCTCTTTCTGGGCTCTTGCTATCCTCACCCTATAGCGGAAGACACATCACCAGTGAAACCCATAGGGGGGCATTGGAGCTACATTCTTTGAAGGGGTAAATCTGCCAGCTGCCTGAATTCTTAGCACACAAAGTAGCAGGGGTCTTTATGGCTCCGTGCAAGTTTACTTTATGAGAAAACTGGAGCAACATCTTCTGAGCAACCCGCTACTAAGGAGCTTCTAAAATGTAAGAAGTTAAAGGTGCAGCCCTAGAATTGCTGGTGGTAGGGGCTCCACTATAAATAGCTGTGCAGAGTCCACGTAGAGAATATTTGGCCACGCTGGTCGGCCGTTTTGGAAGAAATGGTAGCACCCACACTTTACCCCACCACATGCAAACTGTTTATTTACCACCAACCGTGGATTAATTTGCACTGCTGCGTGGAGACAGGGTTTTTATTTATTTTTCTAGCAGGGTATTATTTTTTTAAATGTGCCCATTTTTTAAAAACTTCCATGCAAGGCGATCAAACCGGCGAACTCCAGTGTGTGAACCATTACGTGGTGACAGCAACCCTTAGCATCTTAGAGGCATGCATTTCTAAATGCAGGGAAATCTGTTTGTTTAAAAGGGCATTCGGGTACGTGGTATTTATTTGTGAGGAGGAGTGAATGGAGGGAGCCGAGCTGTAGATGGGCGGCGAGGGCATTCCAAAAAACGTGGAGCGGCACAGAGGAAATACTTTTTTTTCACCAAACAAAGTTTTAGCGACTGGATTCTTTTTCAGTAGGAATAAGGAGGCGCTGATGAGACTACTGGAGGGAGTTCGAGGAACTCAGCAATCCTTTCAGCAATTGGCAGATTTATTAAAGAGGAGCTTTAGGATGAAGACAGCCTAGTGATGGTCCTTCCGGATATCCACGGGCGACATTTGAGTTCATGTACCGTTTTCAATGATAAGTTATATAGGGGGGCCTCAAAGGCCCAAATCGTCCACTGACCAAAACGAACCAGCACAATTGAAGGTGTAACAGATGGGAGTTAACACGTTTCTTCGAATGAGCAAGGCTGTGAAGGAAAGCACAGCAAAATAATGGTTTTTGGCTGATATTACTCTCTTGATATTACACTCCACAGTTTGCACTGCCCATCTTGCAGTGGGTGTGTTGAACGGAATGTCATTCATCATATAAACTGTACAATATTTTAACTTTTAATAATCTACGATAAAGTTTCCTGTAGGGCCTCACTGAGTCTCAAAACTCTGTCAGGAGGGTCCTTCAATGTAATTGGTGACCAAAAATAGCAAGCAATTTTTTGTTACATACATATAAAAGTGTAAACCAATCCTTACATTCAAAGCACTCTTTCTGAATCCAATATAAGTAATGTTTGATACCTTATTCATGTTGCATGCATATATTTTAAATGGAATATTGGAACTATGTATGTTTTTGTGTTTAAGCCCATCCACAAAAATCAAAACTTTTACAGACGTTTCACGGTTATCTCTCTTGGCCAGGGTTTACATCACTGAAGAGGGAGTAGACTTCAAGAGTAACAACAAAATCTAACTGAACGTATTTGACAAAGAGCAGAAGAAGACCAGCAGAGTAGCAGAGTTGCCAGGTCTGAGTAGGATTTAAACCAGAGGCTTTCGATGGACTGCCATAACCCACGCACTGCTTTGCCACGCTCTCAGCTATGAGAATAAACATCCACAGCCTCTTTAGATTGAGTATATTTACTCAAATTAACTTACAAATTGTTCTCTAGAGGCAAAAAATATCACCAACTGATATACCATTAGCCAATTAGCGAATACATGTCTGGTTAATGCTTAGTTGAGTATATCAGCTCTTTTGCTGACTCGGGGACAGTCAAAGAGAAAAGGGTACTTGTCTTATTAACACAAGTAAACCATTTTACTTGTGTTAATGTGTTAATGTGATTATTAATGCGGCATACCAGTTGCTTTGGTTTAAGTAGCCAGCCTGCTCAGTTTTATAGTTATGAGATTTTCATAAATTCTGTACAATAAAGCCAGATTTTTTTTCCTCCTAAATATCTTTGAGACATGCGCATGGAATAATAATGCGTTTTTTTCACATGTGGGACATTTTAATGCAGAAAATCTCTCCAAACATGTTGCGTGCAATGAAATTGGTAAAAAAAAAATGTCTTAAGACCTTGCTTGCTGGATTGGAAATAAAGACCCCCCCCCCCCTCCTCCCCCCACATTTATGTGGGTGGTCAAAACTTTAGCCAACCTGCTAAGTTTTATGGCAATGAGTAGCGTTTAATTAACATGAGCGAATTCATGTTTAGCGGGTAATACAAACCCGCAAGGACTGTATAGCCCTCCAATGTGGTGTCGGGTTGTACCACGTGGCGTTCGGCACGATATCCAACGTTTTGCTCCATGAACTTTGAATTCAGTCCCTGAAGCTGAAGAAGCTCCCGACACGTGGGGAAAAGCGTCAGATATCGTGCTGGACAACCCACCCCCCCTAAAAAAACACAACAGAGAGCTGTACAGCACAACAGTGAAAGCCTACGCAGTAATGAAACCAATAATTATAATAGTTTACAAATGCACAGAAATACATGCTATTTTTTTTTTATTTTACCAGGTAAGGCCCACTGGGCTATCCAGCTCTTTTTTCAGAAGCGACCTGGCCACAAGTGATAGCTCAACGAAGTGGCTTATCACGTGCAAATGTATAGCAGCCAAATACTCTAAAAGCATGTTTCTAAATATGGACCAAAAACGGGAGAACCCAGAGACACATCCACGCGACTACAGGGAGAACACGCAAACTCCAAATGTACAGCAGGCGTCAGCGTCAGGATCGAACCCACGACCTCCTGCCTACCGGGTGAGGTAGTTAACATCTCCTCATCGTGGCGCTGCTGCTACAGAAAGCCTTCCCACACTCTAATCCTCAGACCTTCCCACATTGACTGCTTGCCAATTCCCCAGCATTCTCTTATCGACTGCATTGGAGGGCCATTATACATTGCACTCATGTTTTGATTGGGAAAAGTGGAATGTGTCAAACGGACTGCGTGTCAATTCCGGTTGGACCCGTGTATGAGAAATGTGTTGCGTTACTTCGCCAAGGCACTGATCAGTTTCTAATCTCAATTTTAAGAAAACTCAAAAGGCATTTGTGCACAAATGAGACCCAGTTGAATAAAGCTCCAGTAATGCGGTGTCATTCACCATAGTGGTACGATGCATCTTTGGTCAAATGGGCATCAGCATTAGATTTGCATTTATTTCAATCAACACAGGAGTGTACATTGCTAAGGTCGACATATATGGAGATATTCCGTTTCAGTTTATCCTACTTTAAAACGAGCATTTTGGGCTTGTGCATATTTCACTGCGAACTTTAGTCCTTTAGCAAGATCGTTATTGAAATGTTTTTTTCTTTAAACCCTTACACCACTCGTTAAACAAGAGAGAAAAAAATGTTTACACAATGTAAAATGCCCGTCTATGTTTTGCGGCCCTGTCGCCAAAAGTGCAGCGTTTTCCCACTAGAGTTAATTAAAGTCGACTGATTGCATGAAACTGGGACCGAGTTACACAACTAGATGCACAATCTGACAACAAAATCCATACTCGCATCGCACTGCTGTCCCAAAGACGGCAGCCAAGAAGCGAAAACTTCACCTTCGCCTCCTCCCCTGGTTCCATTCAGGCAACGGCAAGCAGATCGCAGAGTGGGGCTGACCGGCGAGGTGACCCATGGGGTCACGGGGTCATGCTTACTCCCATGATGCTCTTTGCCGCAGAGAATACTGATGTTGATAAATTTAGTTTTTTTTTTTGACCCCTGGGAGCTTCTGGCTTTAATGCAAGTGCAGCTTTTGTCAATTTGCTGTGTAGCTGCAATTGCGATTCTCCTGAATTGTATTTCACATGTGATTGTGCTGTAGTTTAAAGTGTATGTGTTCTAATGCATACGTCTATTTTGGCATTTCGTCATTTGTTTCATGACAATGCTATTGACCATTAGTATTTATGAACTGAGATTTTGCTTTGATTTGTAGTATTTATTATTTTCTATTGTTCTCTACGATTTTTGCTCAACATGTCAACTAACTTAAATTTCCTCCAGATTTTGTCATTGTCTTATTCCTGCATTTGGCTTTGGACCCCAGCAGCTCACGTAAAAAGCAATCAATGGGTTTTAACCCGCTTCAAAAAACTAGGATACGGCCAACTGTTTTGTTTAGCAACGTCCCTCCTTTACATCACATAGAGAGGCCATGGAGGTAGAATAACACGCTACCTCGAGTCTCACTCCACCTAGAGTCTCACTCTACCTAGAGTCTCACTCTACCTAGACTCACACTCTGCCTAGAGTCTCACTCTGCCTAGAGTCTCACTCTACCTAGAGTCTCACTCTACCTAGACTCACACTCTACCTAGAGGCTCACTCTACCTAGACTCACACTCTACCTAGTCTCACTCTACCTAGAGTCTCACTCTACCTAGACTCACACTCTGCCTAGACTCACACACTACCTAGAGTCTCACTCTACCTAGAGTCTCACTCTACCTAGACTCACACTCTCCCTAGAGTCACACTCTACCTAGACTCACACTCTACCTAGAGTCTCACTCTACCTAGACTCACACTAAACCTAGAGTCACACTCTACCTAGACTCACACTCTACCAAGACTCACACTCTACCTAGAGTATCACTCTACCTAGAGTCCACTCTACCTAGACTCACACTCTACCTAGACTCACACTCTACCTAGAGTTTCACTCTACCTAGACTCACACTCTACCTAGAGTCACACTCTACCTAGAGTCTCATTCTACCTAGACTCACACTCTACCTAGACTCACACTCTACCTAGAGTCTCAATCTACCTAGAGTCTCACTCTACCTAGACTCACACTCTACCTAGAGTCTCACTCTACCTAGAGTCTCATTCTATGTAGACTCACACTCTACCAAGACTCACACTCTACCTAGACTCACACTCTACCTAGAGTCTCACTCTACGTAGAGTCTCACTCTACCTAGACTCACACTCTAACTAGAGTCTCACTCTACCTAGAGTCTCACTCTACGTAGAGTCTCACTCTACCTAGACTCACACTCTAACTAGAGTCTCACTCTACCTAGACTCACACTCTACCTAGAGACTCACTCTACGTAGAGTCTCACTCTACCTAGACTCACACTCTAACTAGAGTCTCACTCTACCTAGACTCACACTCTACCTAGACTCACACTCTACCTAGAGTCTCACTCTACGTAGAGTCTCACTCTACCTAGACTCACACTCTAACTAGAGTCTCACTCTACCTAGACTCACACTCTACCTAGACTCACACTCTACCTAGAGCCTCACTCTA